TGGGAGTCTGAGGCAGGGAGAATCACTTGAACATCTGGGAGGGCTGCAAGCAAGGGAGATCCCCACACCCTCTGCATCCAGCCTGAGTTGACAGGAAACAAGACTCATTTCTCAAGAAAAAAAAAAAAGGAAATTTCTACATTTCCATGTTGGCACAACCTTGGTCAGGATCACCACTTAAAAGACATTGATAATGTCATTGGTGGAAGTGGACTTGTTCTCTTTTGTTGTTTGCTTTTCTTCTTTCTTCCTTCTTTCTTTTTTTTTTTTTTCTTTTTCAGATGGAATCTCATTATGTTGCCAGGGGCTGGGTCTTGAACTCTTGGCCTCAAGTGATCCTCCACTTGGCCTCCAAGCAGGGCTGGATTAAGGGTGGAGCCCTGGCCCTGGACCACTCTTAAATTTCAGACTAATACCCAGGCATGTTAACTTCAGAGACATGATTTTGTGAATGGTGAATTGAACCTTTCCTTGTAAAGATCGAACTCCATATAGGAAAATTTGCTTCTTTGATTAACATTAGCCACATTTCCTGGAAAAGTCGTGGTATATGCTTAAAACTGTATTTATAATGTAATGTGTTTACATAAACTGAGTTAGGTTTTCAGCTCATACTATTATAAAAACAGGTTTTCCACTCATAAATAAGGCAGGTTCTCGGTACAAACTCGTAGGACATTAAGTTGTGCAGCGACATGGAACAATGATCTGTTTTGCAGGACTGTCCCAAATACTGCAGGGTGTCCCAGGCATTGCCTTGGCTCATGTCTACTAAAAGATCAGAGGTCCGATCAGGGCCAGTGCTCTTTCTTCTTACAAAAAGGCTCCAAAAAAAAAGTAAACTTGCTCCATTGTCTCAATAGTCCATTCGGGAGAGGCAGAAACATAGTTAAGAACCCCAGGCTGGTCAGTCTGACTCCAAAGGCTGTGATTTTTACCCCTCTTTTTAAATTTTCTATTAATAAATAGAGATGCAGATTTCTTGTGTTGCTCTAGGTTGGACTTGTGGGCCTCAAGCAATCTCTCTTGCCTCACGCTCCCAAGTAGCTGGGACTAGAAGGCCAGCGCACCATGCTGCGGCAACCTTTTTTTTCCTTTTGAGACAAAGTCTTGCTCGGTCTTCCCCAGGCTTGGAGTGCAGTGGCCAATCTTGCCACTTGCACCTCTTGCCTCCTGGTTTCAAGAGTGGATTCTCCTCGCCTCAGCTGTCTGAGTAGCTGGGGCTACCGGCGCAAGCCACCACCCTGGCTAAATTTTGTTATTTTAGTAGAAGACAGGGGTTTGCCATGTTGGCCAGGCTGGGACCTCGAACTCTACCTCAGGTGATCTGCCTGCCCGCCTCCAATGCTGGATTCACAGGCGTGAGCCACTGTGCTCTGGAGGGAGACTCTGTCTTTAAAGAAAAGAAAAAAAAAAAAGCTGGGCACGGTGGCTCAACCTGTAATATCCAAGGCACTTTGGCAGGCCGGGGTGGGCGAATCACAAGGTGAGGAGATCAAAGACCATTCTTGGCTTAATTACGGTGAAACCTGTTTCTACTAAAAAATTAACAAAAAATTAGCCGACGTGGTTGGCAGAACAGGCTGCTAGTCCCAGCTACTCAGGAGGCTGAGGCAGGAGAATGGAGTGAATTACGCGAGACTCCATTTAAAAAAAAAAAAAAAGGAAAGACAAAATAATTAAAAAATAAACTTTACCGAATGTTAAGAGGTCTCATGGGGCCGTCTTACCGACTGAAGGCTTGGCTGGTGGGCCCTCCACTCTCTTGTAAAAATTTACGCCAGGCCACCACGCCCAGCTAATCTTTTGTTTTTAGTAAGAGACGGTTCACCTTGTTAGCCAAGGATTGGGTCTCGTATCTCCTATGACCTTTGATTCCCTCTTTGCGTTCAGCCTCCCAAAGTTGCTGGGATTCAGGCGTTGAAGCCACCGCGCCCGGACTTTTTTTTTTTGTTTTTTTTTGAGATAGAGTTTCACTGTTGTTGCCCCGGGCTGGGAGTGCACATGGTACAGATTTGCTGGCCTCACGCAAACCCTCCACCTCAGGGCTGGAAGCGATTCTGCCTTGCCTCAGCCTTTCCAAGTGCTGGGGATACAGTGTTGTCTACCACCACACCAGCTAATTTTTGTATTTTGTAGAAGGAAGACTGGGTTTTTGCCAATGTGCCAGGCTGATCGTTGAACTCCGTACTCATGAATCCAGCTGCACCTCGGCCTCCCAAAAAGTTGCTGGCATTGCAGGTATGAAGGCCACCCAGGATAGAACAGAAGTGGTGGATCTATGTGATTACCCACTACAGCCTGCTGCAGACTTTTCAAACAGGTGTTCCTAAGCTTCCCCAGCATATTCTAAGCTCCTGATCTAGGCCTACTGAAGCAGATGTGTAGACTATGCATTGTCAACTACTCTCTGGTGACTGGGTGACTGATTTATTCAGTACATTGGGTGTACTTGGAGAAACAGTGCCCTGTCTGTCCTCTGGCTTTCAATGGCACGCTTCCATGCACTCAGGGGTCTGTAGAGGCCAGTTTGAGAAGCGAGTCTTTATAGGTCTTATAACTGGATATTCATCTAAGTTAGCCAGGTGCGCTGGCTCATGCCTGTAATCCCAGCACTTTGGAAGGCAAAGACGGGAGGATCACTTGAGGCCAGGAATTCGAGAACAGCCTAGCCAATATTGTGAAACCCCATCTCTACTAAAAATACAAAAATTAGCTGAGTATGGTGGCACATGCCTGTAATCCCGGCTACTCGGGAGGCTGAGGCAGGAGAATCACTTAAACCTGGGAGGTGGAGGCTACAGTGAGCTGAGATGGTGCCATTGGACTCCAGCTGGGGCAACAGAGTGAGAGCCTGTCTCAAAAAAAAAAAAAAAAAAAAGAACTGGATTCAAACTCTGCTTCCAGCATTCACCAATTTCTGGACAAATTACTGAATCTCCTTTTGCTTTTGTTTCCTCACGTGCATCACAACTATCTCACAGGGCTGTGTGGGGTTACATGAGTTGATAACACACATGCTGAGGACTCTGAGTGCCTCACAGGTAGTGAGTGCACATAAAACATTAGCCATTATTATTGCTGCTGTTAATATTTGTGTGTACTAGGTACTCTTCTGGGGAATGCCTGTGGTAGGCGCTAAGACAGCACTGTGATTCCCACCTCCTAATATTCACACCCTGGTGTAATTCCCTCTCCTTAAGTGTGGGTGGGACTGTGACTTGCATCTAGCCAACAGGATAGAACAGAGGTGGTGGATCTATGTGATTACGTGGCTGTGATTATGTTATATAAGATTGTGGGGCCAGGCGCGGTGGCTCATGCCTGTAATCCCAGCACTTTGGGAGATTGATGTGGACGGATCACGAGGTCAGGAGTTTGAGACCAGCCTGGCCAGCATGGTGAAACCCCATTTCTACTAAAAATACAAAAAATTAGCCAGGCGTGGTGGAATGTGCCTATACTCCCAGCTACTTGGGAGGCTGAGGCAGGAGAATTGCTTGAACCCGGGAGGCAGAGGCTGCAGTTAGTGGAGATCACACCATTTTACTCCAGCCTGGGAGACAGAGCAAGACTCCATCTCGAAAAAAAAAAAAAAAGAGAAAAGATTGTGGTAGCCTCTCTCTCCCTTTCTGGCTTTCAGCAAGCAAGTGTCCTTGCTGGGGGGCTCATGTGTCAAGGAACTGAGGGCAGCCTTGCTTGCAAGTGACTGAGGACCACAGTCTGATAGCCACTGGGGCTGAATGCTACACATACTCTTTCCCCACCTGAACCTCAGAGGAGACTGCAGGCCTGGCCAGCTCTGAGTGCTGCCCTGCAGAGGACCCAAGTAAGCCGACTTGTGACCCACTGAGACAGATTTAAGAAATTTTTTTTTTTTTTTGAGGCAAGGTCTGGCTCTATCCGCCAGGCTGGAGTACAGTGGTTCGATCTCAATCTCAGCTCACTGCAAGCTCTGCCTCCTGGGCTTGAGCCATCCTCCTGCCTCAGCTTCCTGAGTAGCTGGGGCCACAGGCACATACCACCACACCTGGCTAATTTTTGCATTTTTTGTAGAGATGGGGTTTCACTGTTGCCCAGGCTGGTCTTGAACTCATGAGCTCAAGCAATCCACCTACCTCGGCCTCCCAAAGTGCTGGGATTACAGGCATGAGCCATGGTGCCCGGCCATGCATTGTTTTAAGCCACTAATTTTGCGGGTAATAGGTAATAGTTTTTGTTGTTGTTGTTGTTAGGTTTTTTGTTTTTTTTTTTTTAACAGGATCTCACCCTATCTCTCAGGCTAGAGCTCAGCGGTGCAATCATGGCTCACTGTAGCCTCGACCTCACAGGCTCTAGTGATCCTCCTGCCTCAGCCCCCTGAGTAGCTCAGACTACAGGTGCATGCCATCATGCCTGGCTACTTTTTGTATTTTTTGTACAGAGGGGGTTTTGCCATGTTGCCCAAGCTGGTCTCAAACTCCTGGGCTAAAGCGATACTCCCACCTTGGTCTCCCAAAGTACTGGGATTACGGGCGCGAGTCACTGCGCAGGCTTGTGGTAGTGTTTTACACAGGAGTAGTTAACTAATACACCACCCCTCACCTCCTCCAGCTCTTTGCTCCTTCAAGCCTGCTCTCTTTCTCCTGAGTCGTCATTATCTCTGTTCTGATTCCCAGCAACCACCAACCCATACCCTGTGTGTGCTTTAGTGTCTGCATCTCAGCTTTTTGTTTTGTTTTGTTTTTTTTGAGATGAAGTTTCGCTCTTGTTGCCCAGGCTTGAGTGCAATGGTGTGATCTCGGCTCACTGCAACTTTCCCCTCTTGGGTTCAAGCAATTCTCCTGTCTCAGCCTCCTGAGTAGCTGGGATTCCAAGCAACCGCCACCACACCCAGCAATTTTTTTTTTTTTTTTGAGACAGAGTCTCGCTCTGTCGCCCAAGGTTGAGTGCAGTGGCGCAATCTCACTGCAAGCTCCGCCTCCCAGGTTCACGCCATTCTCCTGCCTCAGCCTCCAGGGTAGGCCATATTTACGCTGTTTCACTGGAAATCATCACTTCAGTTTGGCCCAAAAGTTGATCAGACCTCCCACTCCATCCACTTGCATGTCTGGCCCTACCCCTACCTACTCGCGGGGAAACCCTGCCAGCTAGCCCCCAGTTCCCCTCCTTTTATCTGCCTGGGGTCAAGCCCCTCCTCTTCTGCTCTTTGGTCCTCAGAAGCCGGTGGCGCCTGTCCGTCTTTGTCAATAACATGGTTGCGAGCACAGAAGATCCAGGGCCTTGGACCGTGGCACAGCTCAGTATGGAGTCACCAAGTTCAGTGATCTCACAGGTAGATAAGTGGCCAGAGTCCTCATGGAGCCAGGAAGAGATAGACCTGCTTGCAAGCCCTCTGGCAGGTCTGCTTAGAACACTTTTCTCCCCATGCCCTGCCCACCTTTGCTGCAGAGGAGGAGTTCCGTACCATCTACCTGAATCCCCTCCTAGAGAAGAGCCTGGCAACAAGATGAAGCAAGCCAAGTCTGTGCCTCGCCCCACCTTGAATGGGACTGGAGGGAGTAAGGGGCTGTCCAAAAGTCAAGGACCCAGGTGGACCCCTAGAAGTGAGGGTGGGACATGGGCACTGCACTGGGCTTGGAAGGGATCCAGCTCTGACTCTCACCCATCTCTGTAGGGCATTGTGGCCCTGCTGGGCCTTCTCAGTCACAGGCAACGTGGAGGCCAGTGGGTTCTGAACCAGGGACCCTACACTCTCCTCTCTGAACAGGGTGAGCATCTCGCTCCACCCCTCTGTCCCCCAGCCTACCCCTCAAGGAGGGCTTCTTGGGACCAGCCTTCTGTCTCCTAAGCTCTTGGACTGTGGACAAGATGGACAAGGCCTGCATGGGCGGCTTGCCCTCCAACCCCTACTCGGCCATAAAGAATTTGGGTAATGCATTAACGGGGTCAGGAGGGGCAACTGGCCACTTCTCCCTCTGCAAGAAGTACCTTATGATGCGGGGGAGAGTGTGAGCGTGAGAGTCACACAAGCTAAGTTGAAGTCTTAATGCTGACCAGCCAGGTGTGGTGGCT